TGATGTATATAACTATCCAGATTTACTTGACTTGATATTTTAGGGTTGCTTGTTTTCTGCAAGGCATATCTTTTCCATATGCTGCCTTGCTGGACTGAAATTCTAAATCAGGAACTAATCTGGTTACTCGTTATTTTCGTAGATAGTATCTCATGGGTGAGCGCAGGGAAGCTGCTGGAACTGTGGCTTCTGTGTGAGAAGGCAAAGGCTAAAATGGAATATTCTTACTTGAATCACTATTAGACTATTTATTTTATTGTGTATGTATGCATAATATGTATATGTGGAGCTAGGGGACATATACCACACCATGTATGTAAAGGTTGTGAGTTGTTTCTACCCTAACTTCACGTGGGTTCTGGGGCTCAAACGCAACAGCACCTTTGCCTGCAAGCCATCTTGCTGGCCTCGCTTTCTTGACTCAGTATGCTTTTTTTTCTTGTGAGATGTCAGCAGCTATAAATTACATCGTAAAGATATCTATGTAAGAGGAACGTAATACGAAAAGATGATTTAGTGTTTATGATGATTTAGTTAATCTGTAAGGTTAAGATGGGTTTTCTGGCTGACAAATTGGTGGTCTGCATTAATGTTTGGTGGAAAAAAGTGCCAATTCACAGTATGAGTACAAATTTGAAAAATTTCAGTTTCTACATTTCTTCAAGTAGCAAAAAAAAAAAAAAAGGTTTATAAACAAGGAAGTTAAGATGATCAGTTTCATTTCACTGCTTCTCTGTAAAACTCACCTAACATATTTGTAATTTAGTTTTATTCATTAGCATGACGTTGGGAACTCTTGGTTCTCATTAATGAAATGACATTAAATGAGTGTAGCATGATGAAATTTAGGTTTGACTAGGTAACTTATTGTCACACTTGACCCATATTGTAGACCATTTTGTGAATGCTGCCTGGAGAGATTCTGTAGGACCTTTGTTCCCATCCTTATCTGATTCAGTGCTTTAAAAACATTTTTAAGCCGGGCGGTGGTGGCGCACGCCTTTAATCCCAGCACTCGGGAGGCAGAGGCAGGCGGATCTTTGTGAGTTCGAGGCCAGCCTGGGCTACCAAGTGAGTTCCAGGAAAGGCGCAAAGCTACACAGAGAAACCCTGTCTCGAAAAAACCAAAAAAAAAAAAAAAAACAAAAAACATTTTTATGTGTATGTGTGTCTCTCTGTGTGTATATTGTTTATTTAGGTGCCCACGGAGACCAGAAGAGGTTGTTGGATCCCTTGGACCCAACTTGAGTTACAGGTGGTTGTGAGCCACTCTATATTGGTGCTGGGAACTGAACTAGGGACCTTTGGAAGAACAGCAAGCAGTATTAATTAACTACTGAGCCATCTCTTTAGGCCCTTTTGCTCTTGATTGTGGAGAGGTTGAAATCAGAAGGTCATGTTTATTCTAAGCTCTCATATTCCTTATGAGAAGATAGTATCTTATAGGGTATTTGAACTCATATATTCATTCAACAAACATTGAATTTCTAATGTCATAGGCCTTGTGCAGGTGCTAAGAATTTTTTTTTGGAAGATATTGTTAGTTGCAGGATATTGTTAGTTGCAGGATATTGTTAGTTGCAGGATATTGTTAGTTGCAGGTCAGATTTCAAATCAGTGCTTAGAGGGAGGTAGGCTGTGGAGTAGGAAAATTTGAACTTCACATCAAAGTTAAGGTGTAACAAAGGACCAGATCTAATGAGATGGTGGAAATGTAACAGCAGAAAATGCAGTCTTATGTAAGTAAACTATAGAATTTAAAGTATGGAGTAGCCTCTTGGGGAAAGACATAGCCTTCTTTTGGATGACTTCAGCTTCATGTTAATCAGCAGTGTCCTTTTAGGTCAGGGCAATAGATACTAGATCTGAAATATCTCAGTGAGCCAGAAGATGGAAAGCTTATTGCCTTTTATTAGTTTCAGATTTTTTATTTATATGTATGTATGTGTCCTCGTGTGTGTGCCTATGGTGGCCAGAAGAGGATGGCAGATCCCAGAGAATTGGACTTGCAGGCTATTTTAAACCATCTGAGGCAACTGCTAGGAAACTCTGCTCTCCAGCAAACACCCCATCCTCCATTGCCTTTTGTCTTACTAGATAGCCTAAGCTTTGTGCTGACTTTTGGGGTCACATTTTGAAATAAAAGGGTCATGCTTTGCAGTTGGAGGCCAAGGCACTTGAAGCTTGTGATGCAGCTGCATCAAGGAAATGGGTAGTTTGGATAGAAGATGACTGTGGGCAGGGTCACCACAAATACTGCCTTACACCTCATAGGAGTGAGGAACAGGGCTGGACCCGCTTGAAATTCAGAGTCTAAATAATGGGAGGTTCAAGGAGGCAAGTGTTAAATGCATTCTTAAAATCATCAACAGTTTCCGAAATTGTTGGGTGCTTTGGGGAAGTAGTGAGTTCTCTTGGTGAGATTAGCTTGTTTGTTTGTTTGTTTAAGGCAGGGGTACACTATTTTTCCTGGCTGACCTGGAACTTACTTTGTAGACAAGGCTGATTTCAAACCTAGATCCATATGCCTCCCCCTAGTGCTGGAATTAAAGGTTAAAGGTGTGTGCCACCATGCCCAGCCCCTGTATAGCTTGATTTTTAACTATTACACTTCAGTAACAGGAATGGATGAATGAAAGTTAGTTTAAATTCATTGTCTTCATTATTTCTAGTCATATGAATCTAATTAATTTTCCTAACCTGCCTCTATTTTAAACAGTAAAGGTGTTTTGTACTCTGTATGTTATGTCTTTGATAAAGTAAATCCCAATTAGGCATAGTGTTAAGTTTAATCTTTAACTCTTAGGGAGGAAGAGGCTAGCAGATCACTTTAGGTCCAAGGCTAGCCTGGTCTAAAAAAGGTCCCCCTCCCCCACAACTCAACAACAATAACAACAAAAAAGGTGAACCATAAAAACATAGATGTGAAATGTAAGAAGGGTATGATTAAGGAGGATAATATGCTGACTGCATGCATGCTAGGCTATAGTACAGTGATTCATATAGATCTAATAGAATGCTTTGGTAAGGTAATACGTTCAGGTTAGCTGTTCAGTATTCTGATCTTTCTGTTTTTGTGAGTAATTGACATTTGTTGAAAGTGATGTAGATTAGAATTTGTTAATAATAATTACAGCACCCTCCAGGGTTAGCGGTAGTAAACTAATTTGTTAAGAGAAACTGATATATTGATCGTGAGATGTCCTATGACATTAAGATAATTCAATTATTAAAGATGCCAAAATGACTTGCTCTTTTTATTTGGGAATTATTATTACTTTTGTATGTGTATGTGTTGTGTATGTGAGCATGTCTGTGTCTATACCCATAGAAACGTGTGATTTCCTTGTTGCTTTCTACCTTATTTACTTTAGGCAGAGTCTATTACTGAGCCTGAAACTGTTTTGGTTAGGCTGGCTAGCCAGAAAATTTCTGTCCTGTCCCCTGCCATCCCTAGTTTCTGGGGTTACAGATACATGGATTTTTTTTTTTTACCATGGATTCTAGGATTTGAACTCAGGCCTGTGTGCTTCTCTGCAGACACTCTTGCCTGCTGACCCGTCTCCCCAGCCTCAGCTTGTTCCTTACAATTAGAGACTAGATACTTGCTTTAAATTATTTATTTATTTTGAAGCTGGGGATCAAACTCTGGGGTCTTGTGAAGACTAGAAGAATTCTCTGCCACTGAGCTACAGACCTAGCACATGCGTTTGCTTTATATGTGAAGATAAATGGGCAGAATTACAAACATCTGGGTAAGAATCATGGCTTACCCCTGTGACTATCCATGGGAGGATAGGTGGGAAAAGGCCTATAACATTAGATTTATGAGTCCTATCCAACAGGGATGGATTGCTGCACAGGAGAGATTAGTCCTGTGATCATCTGTGAGAGTGAAATGAAAATTATCATTAAAAACAAATGATCCTTATGACATCAGTAGGTTTAGCCAAGTATGATACATAATGCATTTTTATGTGAATTATCTGGGAATAGTACAGTATTCTTTGTAAATCCACCAACATGGATACCTATCAGGTTGAATTGCAAGATACAATATGCATTTGGGTGTGAAGTACTTGGGAAATAGACAACGATTTGTTGTTGTTGTTACAGATCCCCACCCCCCCCCCCCGGCAGCTGGTAATACATAATGTTCAAGCATAAATCTAAGTTGAAGATTTTGGTAATTGGCTTGTCTTCAGTTTTTAGAACTCTCATGCTTTGTTACTGGTTTCCAAGAGTGACTTTGCTTGGCTGTTAAGTGGTCTTCGTTGATGAGTATATGAGTTCCTCGTGATTTCCTCCTTTCTTCTACTTATATTTGATACTCCTGAGGGGATAATGGTCTTTTTTTTAAAAAGTTAATCCTAGGAACTATGATTCTTTGAAATAAATGAAAGAATTACGGACAGTGCTCCCAGAATCTTTCTGGTCCCCAAACAATGATTTTTAATTACATTTCTTGTAAAATATTTTTTATTTTTATGTATGTGAGCGTTTTGCCTGCATGAATGTCTGTGTACTCTGTGTGTGTGTGTGTGTGTGTGTGTGTGTGTGTGTGCGCGCGCATGTCTAGTGCCCGGGGAGGCCAGAAGAGGGAGTCAAATCTCCTGAAACTGGAGTTACAGAAACAGTTGTGAGCTGCCATGTGGATGTTGGGAATCAAAGTAGGGTCCTCTGAAGAGCAGCCAGGGCTCTTAACAGCCATCTCTCCGGCCCTTACCAACCAAAACTTTTTTCTTTTCTTTTTTCTGTGTGGGTGGGGTGGGGGTGTGGGGGGGTGGGGGAGGAAGTCATATTTAATTTTCAGATGTCAGATTTTGTCTGACTAGTAACTATGAATCGAGATTTATCTGACTGATTGGAGAACATGAAGCACCTGTAGAGAGATTTGGGTTTCAAGTGCCTTAATGTAGTCACTGTCACCTCAGGCAGCTTGATAAACTTGAAATCTGTGTAAGCGATGTAGTGTTCTTTAGGAAGAAGCATTCAGGGAATCTCAGATAAGGTTTTATTTTCACAGGTCAGGTTAATCTTGTTAATAGGAATTTCTGCTGTCTTTATCAGCAGTCTTAAGTTGGTCTGCCTGCCATGGAAGAGTATATGCCTGTAATTTTTAAACAGTAAAACTTACATAATAGGTTCTGTGTTCTTAATAGTCTTCTTCTGTTATCAGTCCTAGGGCACTCCAGAGTTGTTCTTTATTTTCTTTTCCTTCTGTCAGAGATTAGAAAAATGTGACTTGCTGTTCTTTGTAACTTTACTGTTGCTTAGTATGTATTTCGAGATGATTTTGCCTGGGTCATCCACCACAGTGAAAATTAATCTTGTACTTTTCCCACTTAATCCCAAATAAGGGAAATGGAAGAGGAGGCATGCAGTTACAGATCTCTTTGAAACCTGATACTATGAATTTTTTTTTTTTTAATTTTGCTGGAAGACAGCTCAACTTTTTAATTGAAATGAAAATTATTTTAAAGAAGTATCTTAAGCTGGATATAAAAAAAGGGTTCAACTTAGTATATATAAAATAAAAACAGGCAGAGAAAGCATAATTTTCATGGAATATTAGACTTGGAAAGAAATAATAGAGATCATCTAGTCCAGCCTCCTACTGGTGAATAAACACTCATTTTGTGTTTATAGAAAAAACTATTTGATGTTGGAAACAGGAATTTGGGTTTGAAAATACTTTGTTACCTAATTTTCTGCTTTGTCTATTGCAGATTTTTTTTCCTAGTTGAGTTATATCTTAATTAAACCTTTGTCTCTATAAAAACTTAAATACATATTTGTATTTAGGAAATTTGTAGGACTTTTTTATGTCATTGAATGGGTCATGAGTATGAAGATAATGCTTTTACTTAGGGTGGGGGCAGCTCGGATGATGAGATGATTAGCTTTTAAATCACTACTTGAGTCTTATACAAGTAAGAGTTTAAAATAGTAGAAACATACAGTTTTGCATCTCTTGCCAGAAATATCACTGTGCAGATTCTGTCTGGGCCAGAGCTTTTCTTACTTGTTCTGAATATTCTACCAAAAATACATAAATATATGTACATATGTTTGGGTGTTGTATTCAAATGCTTTTAGGGTTATCTATAAATCCATATTGTTAGCTGGGCAGTGGTGGCCCATCCATGCCTTTAATGCTAGCACTCAGGAGGCAGAGCCAGGCGGATCTCTGTGAGTTTGAGGCTAGCCTGGTCTACAGAGTGAGATCCAGGACAGGCACCAAAACTACACAGAGAAACCCTGTCTTGAAAAAAAAACAAAACAAAAACAAAAACAAAAAATCCATATTGTTATTTTTGTTCCTTGCTGTTAAAAAGTGGGAAGATAATACCCGAGTTTTATAGTTTAAAGAATCAAAGGAATGATGTTTGCTGTCTTGAAAAAATAAAAGTTGTAAAAGGATGTTCACTAAATATTGTGAAATCAGCTTCCACCCAGGGAGCTAGGTTTGAAACTAGATTGTTGCTTCAGTTTACAGATGAAAATGAGTGCTGATTTTCTTAGAGTTCAGCTGTGTTAGCCTTCACTGTCTATTTTATCTTCATTATTGATACCATGCTACACCTTTGCAAATTTGCTCATATGGGCATCTATCAGATTGAGTTGCAGGCTTGATTTGAGCAGATTCCCACTGATAGAAACTTGGTAACGTAGACTGTTTTGTTTTCAGTGATGTGTAGAGTTAGTTTAGTCACTTTCCATGGTCATAGACATGATGTAGTCAGCATTGAGAAAAGGGAAACATGAGATACAGTGAGGAAAATAGCTGCATAACTGCTGGATATATTTAATACATTAAGAAGTGGGATAGTGTAGGCGAGTCCTATTCTGTCAGGCCTGTTTCAGAGATCTGAAAATTGTCAATGCTTTGTCCATTGATATGAATATCTAGGTCAGTCCTGTGTGGACTCTTAGAGACCACAGGAGTTGGATGTTCAGGAACAGTCTTGTCAAAATTCTCCATCTTGACTTGATACTCACCTTTGGAACCTCGAGTTATCAGAGCGGCAAAATGGTGATGTAACATGATCTCAGAGGGTAGGTAGGATGTCCTCCTTTGGCAGATTTCCCCAGTGCCTTCTTGCATTGCCGAGAGGAACACAACCAATTCAAACTGTGGAGGGTTCTCATGCTGGAGCAGGGTAGCTAGAGGACTTGACGGTGTAATGGTGTGGTAGTAGGTTAGCGGGAAGATGAAGAACGGACATTCCTCAGAACTGATGCCGTCAAGGTGGAAGTCCACACTGGTCTGGTAGAGTTCACCGTTTTCTCTTTCCTGATAGAGTACAGCTGAGACCCGAACACTGGTCAGAGGGCTGGGCCGGGTGTTGGCTACTTGGAAGATAAGATTGGGTTTGCCATCTCTGTGAGCTACTACTGCTAAGTCAGTGAAGCGGATTGAGAACGCTCTGTTTTTTGGCCGTGCAATCTTCGCCACAAAGGCACCTAAATTAAAAACCATTGAAATGTTTTTGTTTCTTTTTTCTTTGTTTTTTAAGAATGGAAAACTTTAAATCTCAATACTTTTTCTGAATGGGAAGAGTATGTCAAGTAGTTACAGATTTCTCACTCACATTTCACTGAGTAAGGAATTTATACCATTGTTAATTTCAGGTACTCTTACTTAAATGAATTTTTTAGAGTATATGTATCATTTCTGTTAAGAACCAACAAAAAAACCCATGATTTCAAAATGGCTATAAGAAAAATTTGATTTGTTATGAAAAAATGTAAAACTTTATCTTGTAAGTTACAAAGATCAAGAATTGATCATTTTCTATAGTCATATTCATTCTTAAAAAGTAAAACTTGGAGTAGAAAGTAGATTCAGAGCAAGGTGATCAGAAGAGCAGAGGGCTGGAAGGAGGGGTGATACATTAAAGAATGTTGACCTTTGAAACTTACAGATAAAGGCTGATTTGGGGGAAGCTGGCTATCAGGTGATTCAGTGTATCTTTTAAGTACATACTACTTGTGTACCACCCACAGCTATAAATTAGGGTTTTCTAACCATTCTTGTTCCACAGAGTCTGTTGGCAGGCTGGTGAGACATATGCGATCCTTATGTACGTACACACACACACACACACACACACACACACACACACACACACACACATACACTCATATCGATGCATTAACAAAATTTAGCAGTAGGTTATAATGTAATTCTGAAGTATTGTAGTTGACTTGAAATACCTGATTGCGTTCATACCGAAGTTACTGGTAGTGTGGGGGTATCCATCCACCCATCTACCTATCTATCCATCTATTCCATGTATTGGTTTATATAATTTAATATGGATATGTATTTGTGTATAACTTCATAATTGAAGGAAGTGGCAAATTTAGCTAGAGGTTAGTGCAAAAATTTAAGCATTTCCCCATACATAGGTTATCTTAAATGGAGCCAGTGTGAACATACGTATAGAAGTTAAGTCATTTGTTATAAGATGTAGTGCCAATTGGTAGCACAGTGGGTCATCTTTCATGATGTTCAGTGCTTATCTATTAGTGTATCAGTGTGCTTTTTTAAAAGTTGTTTATGTTACATGAAAAGAACCAGCACTATTAGAGGGAAGAGTCTTAAATGTTACCAGACATATAGGCAAGTATTTATGGCCACATTCCCATTGCATTTTGTGTGTATCTGTAACTTTAAAACATGGTGCTTACTTGTGTTATGTTGAGTACATATTGAGTAGGTGATCTCGGAGGAGAAAGTTCTACCATAAGAAAGAAGAGTAAGTCAGATTCTTATGTCATGTAGCATGCATGACTGTTAAAATTTGTGTTCATTATACTTATTCACATACTTAGCAGGATAGCTTCTGTGAGAATTTACTTTTAGGCTTTTTGTTATTATTGTTATGTATATTTCTACAAATTAATGACATATGGTCCGTTTTTTCCTTATGTAGTTCTAATATTCTTTATATATTTCTATTGTTTGTCCCTAGATTGTTTCTTTTCTTTCTTTGGCATCACCTACTTATAATAATACAAATAAATTACTTACAACAGATTTGCCTATAACCAACTATATACTTTATAAAAGGCTCGTATTTTTTTCTTTAAAAACAAAAATAATTACCTGTGATAAAAGCCTCTAGCATGAGGCCTAGGAGCATTTGTATGGCAAGTAAGGCGATTGCACTTGGACAGTCACCACTGGGGAACATGGTACCATAACCAATTGTAAGTTGCGTCTCCAGGGAGAAGGAGAATGCAGCTGTGAAACTGGTGATGTACTTCACACAGATAGTGTGGTTTTCAGGTGGGACATCGTGATCTATTTCCAGATCACCATTCATCTCAGCTAGAACATACCAGAGTACTGCAAAGACAAGCCAGTGGACAACAAAAGAAGCAGAAAAGACCAGCATCATCCAGCGCCAGCGCATGTCCATTAGGATTCCCCACGCATCCCGAAGATAAGCAAGACTTCTTTGAGCACCATCCATTTGAAGTGTGCTGTGGCCATCTTTTGTGACCATCCTCCGGTATCTTTGACTTAGGAGAGGAGCATTAACTTTACAGTTACTGCCGTCCATCTCAGGCTGTAATTCTCTGAAACAAGAGTAAAGTAGTTAGTCCTTTACTGACTTAAGAGTTCATGTTCATAAGTTTTGAACTTTCTTATAGTATTTACATAAGAGGTCAATTACTGGTCAAGTCATTTATTTATTAGCTAGTTATATATTATTTTAGGATATTTCTTAGACTTTTCTTGAGTGACTGTAAAAATACCATTTGGTACTTTGTTTTCTAAATATATTTTTGAATTCCAGAGGGTGAGGCTTATAATTTATTTGTACTTTTTTAAATCTCCTATATTTGTCTTTGCACAAATGCAGGCATTAAGTATTTATTGAGTTAACTAAATACTATTTCTAAATAACAAATTTTTAAAATTTGCTGATAATTATGAATAATAATAAACAGACTAAATTTAAATACATAAGTATTTTACTCTGTAAATAAGTAAAAATCATTTGGAAAGTTAATATTAGACTGTCTACAAGTATTTTGTTTTCTTGCAGTTGCTGGTGATTGAACCCAGAGCTTTGGGCTTTGGGCATTCTAGGCAAGCACTCTGTATTGATCAAGTTTCCAGCACTCTGCAGATGTTTTGAACTCAGACTTAGTACTAGGATAAGACTTACATTTATGTTAAGCTTTTAGGGACTCACAGTTTTCTCATTCATTCATTCATTCTTTTGTATGCTGGGTGTGTGGGTATGTGTGTGTATGCTGGGGGGTTGGGGAAGGTGTATGTGTTCCATGGTGTTTTTTTGAAGGGGAGAGGACAGTCTGGGCATTAGTTCTCCCTTTCTACCTTGTGGGTTCACGCTCAGGTCATCAGTCTTAATAACAATCACTTTTACCCACTAAGCCATCACACTGGCCCCAGATACACACTTTTAATGTATTCCTTATAATTAGCCTATTTAGAACTTTGTGAATAAGTTTTATTTTGCCATTGTGGATATATTAATATATCCTTTCTGTCCTAGTTGATGGATGGATAGCTTGCAAGGAACACACATCCTTGGTTCATATTAAATCTTGGCAAAGTATGAAATTCCTGGTTAGAACTCTGTAGTAAAGCACCCACCTAACATATATAAGACCTTTGATTCAACCCCCAGTATAACCCCTACACCTCAATAAAAGATCTAGATAACATCCCTTGTCCCTGGTACTAGGAATGGACTCTGGGGCTTTGTACATGCTAGGTAGGTTTTTTCCTACTGAGCCCCCCTTCCAACCTTAAGAACAGTAACTTTGAGAATAAGTAAATCAGAAGAAAAAATTTTAAGTGTTTAACAAGCAAAAATAAACAGTAAGAAATCAGATGACAGTTTTGAAAACATAGTGTAATTAGTTCTCTTCTGTGAACAGTTTTCATGAAGGGATAGGCTTTTCCCTATGTTATCAATAGACATCTAATGTATGACCAACCTTGGACATGATAAGTATATATAAACATATCAAGACTTTTGTATAGTGACTCTCTCAGGAACAAATCAAGAAAGATGGCCTGACTTTCACTGAAGGTGCTTCTTCCAAAGTAGACACCTTGAGAGTGTTGCATACCCACCTCTGCTCCCCTTCCGCATCCCACCCCCACTTATGTTCCTTTCTGTAGCCCGGGCTGGTGAGCTGGGTTCTCCTGCCTTAGTCTTCTTGGCTCTAGAACGACAACATGTGCTGTCCTGCCTTGCTGCTCCTTTCCTTTTGACACCCGAGAGGTGGGGTTACTTGGGCCTGCTGGGTTTTTCTGTCTCGGTGCTCAGGGTTTGGAGACTGCTTTCTGTCCATAGGTTTGGACAGTGCACAGCCAGGCATGTATGATGTTCTCTTTTGTCCTGAGGCTGCTGTAATCTTTGTTGGGGATACCTGGGCCGTCTTCTTTCATATTTTTCTCAGCTTTGAGCTAGAGCTGATTGAACACTGGATAGTTATTCAATTCAGATTAGATGGTCGTTTCAGTTTCATGTGATAGACTTACAAAAACAAAACTGTTCATATTGTATCGCTTATTGCCTTACCAAGTTGTCATAATCATTGAGTGTATTTTTTTGTTGTCTGGCAAGTGCTGACAAGTGAGCCACACCTCAGCCCATATTTAATGCTCCTTATTTTGCTAGATTCTTAAAATATTTTAAAAGACCTGTTCTCATTCCTTTCAGAAACAACAACAAAACCTTTATAGACACTGTGCTAGATGCTTCTTACTGTCCACCCTCTGTTTCTGTGTGGTAAGAAGATAGACATGATTATCTCCCATTTTTCATATGGAACCACAAAAGTATATAGAATGGCAAGAAATTATACACATTACATGAGGGCTTTGGATTATTGTCCTAGTCTGGTTAACTACAGCAAAATCAGTTGATTTACTTTTATTTATTTATTTGATAAGCTGTATATTTAGCATTCATGCTGTATTCTGTTCTAAAGCTGATATTTGATGGTTACTCTTCTGCTTTATACATGGTTCTTAATGGTGGTAATGATTTTTTTAAATTTTTTTTTATGTATATAGTGCTCTATCTGCATATACACCTGCATTCCAGAAGAGGGCATTTGATTTCATTATAGATGGCTGTGAGCCACCGTGTGGTTGCTGGGCTCTTAACTGCTGAGCCATCTCCCCAGGCCCCAGTGGTAATGATTTATAATAGTAGCTGATATATATTATTTATCCTGTGCTAGGCATCATTCCAGATTTATCAGAGGCTAAAAGGCAATGCCTTGCATAAGGTAAATTCTGTATTAGTTACTTTATTGTCATTTATAATGCTTTGTAACTTTTATAGTAATAACTACTGATAACATTCCCATTTTATAATGAAAGTGAGGCACAATAAATTTCCCAAGTTCATAAAATTAGCAGTTACTATTATTCTTAAGCATACCTGAGTCCAGAGTTAGTGTTAAAAACCAAGACATCTGACTAGTTAGCCTTTGTGAGCAGTACTGTGTTCAGGAATCACTGCAGGGCTCAGCAGCACACGCCTTTACTCCCAGCACTCGGGGCAGAGGCAGGAGGGTCCCCCAGCCTTAGCTGCATAGGAACTCTAGGCCGGCCAAGGCTACAGAGTGAGGGTAAAAAAAGGCAAACACACAGGAAACCAGATCCCTAGAGAACGTTAGTTCTCCAGGAATGCTTATTAGGGTTCAGACTTAGGATTTATATGTAAGAAATAGATTTTCAGTTAAGGAAGACTTCTTTTAAGACTTAAAAATATGAGCATGACCAGAATTATTGGCTTATTCTACAGAACAGTAAAAGGAGCAGACTTTGCCAGGTAAGAGGATAATTTTAAAAATTACACTGTTAACATATTTATATAAAAGAAATGATTGTGACACCAAGGGGAAGGCTCCAGTGGTGAAAAGAGAGCAGACTTTGTTGTTCTTTCTTGCACCTTTGTGGAAATGGCTCCTGTGGGCCTGGACACTGGTAACTGAGCCTTTGGAGCCGTTAGCCTAGTGGGGTTCACCTTGCTTAAGTCTGACTGCTGTGGAACCCCACACCTGAGGGAGGGCCTTGCTATGCGAACATCATGCCTTCAACGCTATTTCCACTTGGTTCTTTGGATGATTGCTGTTGGTTAGCTACGTATTTTGTAGCAGTTCATCTACGCTCTCTACAATTTCATTTTTCCCCTCCAGCTACTAAAGAACATGGAAAAAGTCATGGACAGGGAAGTCAAAAGGCCAGTATCAAAACAGTGAAGCATTTTTGTTTTGTTTTTCCCCTGAAACATTGTTGACTTTCGTTTGGATCATGTTGGCAAACAGCTGAGAGCAGTTAAGTTTTGACGCTCAGTGGATTGCCTTGATGCCCTCGTACAGTCAAGTCATCGACATGCAGTGCGAAGAATAGGGGTAAGGGTAGGGAGCATGGCCTGGAGGCACTGGCTCTGTTTATACATAGCTCTGTCATTGGGGCAAGCTACCATGTCCTCTTGCCAGATACCATTAGATTAAAGTAAAGAATGTGCTTGAAAGAGAGATCAAATAACATGATCCCTTAAAGTCTACCTACTAGTTTGTAAGTTTATGTCTAGTTTCTCAACTAATATATGTTTCCTATTAGATGGTTTCTGTGTGATTTTATGTCTGCTTATATGGTCTTTAAAAAATTTCGTTGCTGTTGCCTGATATTTATAAGATTTCTCCCCCTTCTTCTTCTAATGTAAATGTCTAATGGGTAGACATATTTCCAAATAATTTTCACATTCTCACAGGCACATGGGCATAAATACCTCCCTCCCTCCCTCCATTCCTCCCTCCCTCCGTCCCCCCTCCACTCCCTCTCTTTTTGAGAGTGCTGTCATACAGCCCAGGCTGGTCTCAGACTCAGCCAGTGTAGCCAGATGTCTTTGAACTGATGCTCCTGCTTCTATATCCCAAGTCCTAGGATTACAGGTATGTGTTAATGCATTTGACTATGAGCGCATTTTGAATGCATTTGTTTGCTTTTGAGTTTTGTGTGATTTTCATGAACTGATCACAACAGGAAGTAGAATAAACAAGTGGAAAATTTGTGTATCTGTGGGGTGTGTGTGTAAAATATGCATTAATAAATTGTTTGATGGAAAGAGTACTTATTTTAAAAATGGTAGTTTAATAGCTTCATTAATTATCAAAATAAGAGTGTTGCTCTGTCTGTTAGGTGGTGGCCCTTAAACTTCACGCTCTCTGTTGCTGTGCCTCTGGAGGAGTGCTGTCCTGTCCGACAGTTAAGATAGAGATCGCACTTAGAAATGTTAAGTGAGCACAGTGTTTGCTCATGCCTTGTGCAAACACTTGAAAGGCTGTGTTGAAAGTCTCACAAGCACCTTTCCTGGCCTCTATAATTAGGGCAGACATTGTGAATTTTAACCCCATTATGTAAGCTCAGAGAATAGTTCATATTTTAATTTCTTATATACAGAATCTACTTCAGTAATAATTCCCTGCTTAAAAAGAAACTTTAAACTAGGACACACATCTCTTGGATTAAGAAAATTAAAAACATAATGGTTTATTCTTCTGGCACGTTTATTTCCATATGCTTATTTTGAGTTTCTCTAATTCCATCCAAAAAAATCCACATTCTTTTTTTAAAGCCACTGAGTTTTATCGAGGATTTTTTCCCTATTCATTTATGTATTATAACAAGGAATTAGTATGTATTTCCTGAAATAACTGAGAGCTAAACTTTCACTAAGGCTTTTAATATGGCTATTTGCCAGTTCTAAAATTGAAGGAAAAAGAACAAATCCGAGTTATGACTGTCTAGGTAATGTCTCTGTTGTAAAACTCTATTGTAAGCAATCTTGCTCTGTTCCTCTTTGCTGTCACTGTCCTTGCCTGGTCCCCTAAAGGAAAGGATAAGAATGAAGGTTACTTCATGTACTCACCAGTTCTCTTGTGGGGTCAGCTTACCAAGGCAGGTCTCAGTGAAGTTAGCAGTCTTGTCTTTTTGATCAGGTGCTTTCAACCTACAGTGTAGCTTGTAGGTTCTCTTCTTAGACTGGCTTTGCAGCTTACATTCCTGTGTTTATAACGTCGTGAGGGCTGGTTTCAGCTGAAGCTGATGTGATTGGTCACTTAGTCTGCAGGGGGCCAATTAGCTCTGGTCATGTGGAAAAGAATGCTGGTTTGTTAGGAGGTCTTTCTTTACCCAACACAAACCTTAGCAACTCTGGAGAAAGCCTCCAGAACTGACGTGGAGAAGGGTGCATTTTTTCCCTCTAATCAGGACCGGTTTTTAGTAAGTTTGCATAATCTTATTTAAGAGTTTATTTGAAAGTTCAAAGGGATAAAATTCCCTGCAAGATTTCCTTTCAGCCCTCTCTCCTTATATTGCGTGTTGAAGTGTGAGGTATCTCTTTTCAGTAATTTTTTTTCCACCATTTCTTGAGGGGAGATTTAGTTGGGTAAGGCTGTTTAGGCATAATTGATGAGTTGGTTTTTCTGGCTTTCTTATTAGCTCTTACCTCATCAGCAAGGCTATGATTGGTTTCAAAACGAGTAGGTATAGATTAATTAGTTACCCGAAACAGTGCGCATACCCTCCTTCCTAATTGCAATTTGTTTGGTTTTAAAGCTGTGTAATAAGGCTTGACTAGGAATATGATTGTTTGATGCCTTGTACTTTTATTTAAACAGCATCCTGGGGTTTTCTTAAGGCTTGCTTTAGTGATCCTTAGCGGGGTCTTTTCTTGGTATATGTGATGAAGCAGAATAAAACAGTGTTCAGGGTACAGGAACTGTAACTCAGTACTGAAATTGTGTTTACCTGAAAAATGTCAGCAGTCCAGCTTGTAGCAGCCTCCACATGAGCTGAAAGTATGGCCTTGTGTAATGCCTAGTGAGCAGTATTTTCTCCTCCTCTGTTAGCTGCCAATTTTAAAACTTTGATCAAATGTTACACATAAGAGGATCTGAGAAACAAAGACACTCTGTTTGTTTGAAGGAAAAGCTTGGAAAGGCCTGCTGGGAAAGTTATGAATGTAGACCAATCTAATGCTACTTAGGAAGGGAAATCCGACTTTGTGGATTCCTCTCCCTCCCTTCACAATTGAAAAAATACATTAATTCCTTCTTTGTTTTATTAATGCCAGACATTTCAGTACAAGTTTAGGCACAACACTAGTAATTTTGACCTTCAGAACCAGGGAAGATAAGGTGAGATTCACATGTAAGACTTCTTCCCTGCATGTGCTATAGGCATTTGTATCATTTTCCAGCTAGCTGAGAGAGGAAAACACCTAACTGAAGCAACAGAAACACTAGAGCAAGTAGTGGGGCATTCTGCCACTGTCTTGAACAGTTGGGAAGACAGAAAAGAATGCCATTCAATTAGGAAACACCTCCCACCTTACAAAAAAAGAAGCATTTTGACGGTATAGTCTATTGTGGCCTTTAACTTATGATTCCCTTGCCTCAGCTTCCCAAACACTGAGATTACAGACATGTACCACTGTGTCTGACTGTCTTTACCAGGTGTGGTGGCTCCTATCTGTAACTTCAGCCATTCGTCAGCTGAGGCAATAGGATTGCTATGAGTGTGAAGCCAGCCTCAATTACACACCCACACATCCACACACGAACGCACCCACACAATGCCTTATGTGAAGTAGTTTTCTGATTCTGGGATGTTTCCAACTTGAGAGAGCCTGCTGTGGACAATGATGGCTGACTATGGATGTTAGACTTTGACTCTGGAGCTAAGCATTCCCATGACAGCCATTTGAGCATCTAAATTACTGGGAGATGGTGCCATCAGTTTGGCTGAGGTGACACTGGTAATGACACGTGAGATATGCCACCTTCACCCTAAAAGACATAGTAGGATAATTGGAGTTGGATCTAAAGCATCTCTTCTGTGTATGAACATAAACGCTGCTGTTCCATTGATGACTTGTTTTTTTTGTTAAGAATTGTAATGATTATGCCAAGTGCGACAAACAAGTAAATTAGTCTTTGTTAGATTCAAATCTCTGTCCCTAAAGGTACTGATTCCTATTTTAGCTGACAGTCTACAAATACACTACAGTTTTCTTTAAAATGACAAAAGATTTGGTGGAGTGCAGTATCTTGTCTACTCTCCCATCTGGTCTGTCTGACTGGTTGCATGTATTTATCTTTGTGTTAAAGATAACACCTAGACTCTCCAGTTCTGCATGGTGAGAGATGATAGGCAGCTTCGCTTCTGGGTGTGCTGTCAGCACCTGTGAGCATAGGGCTGTGGGGATCAGGACATATGCCCTTTGTTTGAGGTACTTTTTCAGAGACATTCTTACAGCTCCCCTAGTTGCCCATCCATCCAGAAGTGGCTGAGCTTTCAGGACTCTGCTCACTAGCTGAGCAGAGGTTAGGCTGCAGAAGTTTAGAGATTCCTAGTGTGGACTCTAAACTCCTATTTTCACCACTGTGGAATTACAGTTCTAAGTCATTATTGAGAGCAAGGGGAAGTAAGTGTCCATACTTGGATGGGATTCCCTTTCACTATTTAATAGAGAAATACAAAGTCAATTGCTACAAAAATTTGCACGTAAACAAGCTTCAAAGTCTGTCCCATAATTCCGCTTTTGCTTTTGGAGTTTGGGTACTTGTAAGCTCCAAGTTTCACAGCTGTAGATTTTGTTGGCTGAATGCCTCTGTGCTCCATCTGAAGTTTTCCATAAACACCATTTTTGGCTGCAAGTCAAACATGCACACAGGTGCCCTTTTACCGCTCCTTCTCCTTAGGAAGTCCGCCCAGAAGACCAGGCAGAAGCCAGCACTCAGTTTTCATTTAGTTTGTAGAAGACTCCTATTCCTTAACACATTAAGAAACAAGTATGTACTTGTACATAATATACTACATATGTATTTTAACAGCTTTTATATGCTTTAAGTGACTATGATATAAGAACACAAAATATTCTATAGGTAATATAATTTCCTGATAACAGTCTTGTTTACTACATTGAGCAGAAAATTTTTTAATTGATTTCCCCCTTTTTCTTTTCCTTTTCTTTCCTCTTTCTTTCTTTCTTCTCTCTCTCTCTCTCTCTCTCTCTCTCTCTCTCTCTCTCTCTCTCTCTCTCTCTCTCTTTTACATTTTGAAGCTCATAGACAGCAGTAAGATTCTGAAAGCCTTAGATTGTTTGCCCTGAAAAACAAAGCATCCTTGGTCACAGCATGCTTCTAGTCTAGGGACTCTGAGCCCCAAGCTCACCCCTGATTGTAGCTTGGGAATAGCTCCTTTACCTAGTCTCTCTTTGTAGTTTGGTGTGTTCAAGCCTCCTTGGTGACTGCCTTCCCCAGATATTCCAGGCAGTTTCTAGGTGTGTACCAGCAGACAACAGCATGAGGGCTATAGGGGTGGGGGCATATTCCTATTGCTTGAGATATTTTTAAAAAGAAAATTCTCATCTGTATTCTTTGCAGTCTTTCTCTTGCCAGGAACTGTACTGTTTGCAGACATGCATTTACAGACTATTCCATTAGATTTAGAGTCACTTTTAAATCATCTTGTTCATAAATTGTGTTTTAAAAAGAAAGTTCCCAGAATTCTTTACTCAACTTTGTCATAGCGCTGATAAATTGCAGAGAGAAGAGTCTGAGTTTGAGTGCTGAGAAGGGCCCGTGTGGGTGGCCCTCATTGTAGCCCTGGCCACCATAGAACACTGCAATTATTAGACACAAAGAGAGCCTAAGGTCGCATCTTTTAAACTGTTTGGGGATAGCTTTGAAGTTTGTCATTTAAGTTTCATCAAGAATACACAAATCTACAAGACATGGTGGCGCACGCCTTTAATCCCAGCTCTCGGGAGGCAGAGGCAGGCAGATTTCTGTGAGTTCCAGGATAGCCTGGTCTACAGAGCAAGGTCCAGGACAGCCAGGGCTACACAGAGAAACCCTGTCTTGAAAACTAAACAAAACAAATGAAAAGAGTACATAGATCTATCATTTCTAAAAACAAGATTATACGAGCGAATCTGTTTGACATTTCCACTTGTTAACCAAAATTTATACAACAGATAGCTACTAATTAGAAAAAGTTCTAGACTATTAGAGCAGTTCTTCATTCAGTGCAATTTTTTTTTTTTTT